TCTGCCAATCCCTAGGTACCTTACCCTCTTCCATACATTTATTAAATAATTGCACCAACCACTCCAAAACTATATCCCCACCTGCTTTTAACATTTCTATCTTTATCCCATCAATCCTGGCTGCCTTACCCCCTTTCATTTTACCTACTGCCTCACGAACTTCCCCCACACTCACAACTGGCTCTTCCTCACTCCTACAAGATGTTATTCCTCCTTGCCCTATACACGAAATCACAGCTTCCCTATCTTCATCAACATTTAACAATTCCTCAAAATATTCCTTCCATCTTCCCAATACCTCTAACTCTCCATTTAATAACTCTCCTCTCCTATTTTTAACTGACAAATCAATTTGTTCTCTAGGCTTTCTTAACTTGTTAATCTCACTCCAAAACTTTTTCTTATTTTCAATAAAATTTGTTGATAACATCTCACCCACTCTCTCATTTGCTCTCTTTTTACATTGCTTCACCACTCTCTTAACCTCTCTCTTTTTCTCCATATACTCTTCCCTCCTTGCATCACTTCTACTTTGTAAAAACTTCTCATATGCTAACTTTTTCTCCGTTACTACTCTCTTTACATCATCATTCCACCAATCGCTCCTCTTCCCTCCTGCACCCACTTTCCTGTAACCACAAACTTCTGCTGAACACTCTAACACTACATTTTTAAACCTACCCCATACCTCTTCGACCCCATTGCCTATGCTCTCATTAGCCCATCTATCCTCCAATAGCTGTTTATATCTTACCCTAACTGCCTCCTCTTTTAGTTTATAAACCTTCACCTCTCTCTTCCCTGATGCTTCTATTCTCCTTGTATCCCATCTACCTTTTACTCTCAGTGTAGCTACAACTAGAAAGTGATCTGATATATCTGTGGCCCCTCTATAAACATGTACATCCTGAAGTCTACTCAACAGTCTTTTATCTACCAATACATAATCCAACAAACTACTGTCATTTCGCCCTACATCATATCGTGTATACTTATTTATCCTCTTTTTCTTAAAATATGTATTACCTATAACTAAACCCCTTTCTATACAAAGTTCAATCAAAGGGCTCCCATTATCATTTACACCTGGCACCCCAAACTTACCTACCACACCCTCTCTAAAAGTTTCTCCTACTTTAGCATTCAAGTCCCCTACCACAATTACTCTCTCACTTGGTTCAAAGGCTCCTATACATTCACTTAACATCTCCCAAAATCTCTCTCTCTCCTCTGCATTCCTCTCTTCTCCAGGTGCATACACGCTTATTATGACCCACTTCTCGCATCCAACCTTTACTTTAATCCACATAATTCTTGAATTTACACATTCATATTCTCTTTTCTCCTTCCATAACTGATCATTTAACATTACTGCTACCCCTTCCTTTGCTCTAACTCTCTCAGATACTCCAGATTTAATCCCATTTATTTCCCCCCACTGAAACTCTCCTACCCCCTTCAGCTTTGTTTCGCTTAGGGCCAGGACATGCAACTTCTTTTCATTCATAACATCAGCAATCATCTGTTTCTTGTCATCCGCACTACATCCACACACATTTAAGCAACCCAGTTTTATAAAGTTTTTCTTCTTCTCTTTTTTAGTAATTGTATACAGGAGAAGGGGTTACTAGCCCATTGCTCCCGGCATTTTAGTCGCCTCATACGACACGCATGGCTTACGGAGGAAAGATTCTTTTCCACTTCCCCATGGACAATAGAAGAAATAAAAAAAGAACAAGAGCTATTTAGAAAAAGGAGAAAAACCTAGATGTATGTATATATATATATGCATGTGCGTGTCTGTGAAGTGTGACCAAAGTGTAAGTAGGAGTAGCAAGATATCCCTGTTATCTTAGCGTGTTTATGAGACAGAAAAAGAAACCAGCAATCCTACCATCATGCAAAACAGTTACAGGTTTTTGTTTCACAGTCATCTGGCAGGACGGTAGTACTTCCCTGGGTGGTTGCTGTCTACCAACCTACTACCTCTTGAGGTATATGTGAAGCCAAAAAACGTTATCTATGGAGGCAAAGAAGGAAATGTATGAAAGTATAGTAGTACCAACACTGTTATATGGGTGTGAAGCTTGGGTTGTGAATGCAGCAGCAAGGAGGTGGTTGGAGGCAGTGGAGATGTCCTGTCTAAGGGCAATGTGGTGTAAATATTATGCAGAAAATTCGGAGTGTGGAAATTAGGAGAAGGTGTGGAGTTAATAAAAGTATTAGTCAGAGGGCTGAAGAGGGGTTGTTGAGGTGGTTTGGTCATTTAGAGAGAATGGATCAGAGTAGAATGACATGGAGAGCATTTAAATCTGTAGGAGAAGGAATGCGGGGCTAGGGTTCGTCCTCGAAAAGGTTGGAAGGAAGGGGTAAGGGAGGGTTTGTGGGCGAGGGGCTTGGACTTCCAGCAGGTGTGCATGCGCGTGTTCGATAGGAGTGAATGGAGACAAATGGTATTTGGGATTTGACGATCTGTTGGAGTGTGAGCAGCGTAATATTTAGTGAAGGGATTCAGGGAAACCGGTTACACGTATTTTTATATAGCCGGACTTGAGTCCTGGAAATGGGAAGTACAATGCCTGCACTCTAAAGGAGGGGTTCGGGATACTAGCAGTTTGGAGGGATATGTTGTGTATCTTTATACATATATGCTTCTAAACTGTTGTGTTCTGAGCACCTCTGCAAAAACAGTGATTATGTGTGAGTGAGGTGAAAGTGTTGAATGATGATGAAAATATTTTCTTTTTGGGGATTTTCTTTATTTTTGGGTCACCCTGCCTCGGTGGGAGATGGCCGACTTGTTGAAAAAAAAAAGAGAAAAAGATAGTTCATACTAGCTATTTGTTAACTTTTTCACTTTCTTTTTGTAAATGTAATGGTCATCATACCACCACCTGTTTTCTAGTAAGGGCATTTTCAGCATACCTTGAATCTTTCTTCGTTACTCGTATTTCCCAAATATGGATTCAGTTGTGTTGTAGTTCTCTGATCTCTTCCTGTTCGCTGAAGGACTGTTTATAAAATTTTAGGCGTCAAAACCATCCGTAGCTGCATATTCGGTTTTGGTTTCGTTTGTACAGAATATAATATACTTCTGTACATTATTTGCTGTCTTGGTATTTCTTAATGTTTATTGTTAAGATTGTTATTGTAACAAGGAATACTTATTGTTGTCTGACACCTGAGGTAATGTCCAGGCTGTCTCTTGTAGTAACTCATGTTATATTCTATATTTTCTTTCTGTCAACAAACTGGCCATATACCACCGAGACAGGGTGGCCCAAAAAGAAAAACAAAAGTTTCTCTTTGTTAACTCTAGTAATGTATACAGGAGAAGGGGTTACTAGCCCTTGTTCCCAGCATTTTAGTCACCTCTACAACACGCATGGCTTACGGAGGAAGAATTGTTCCACTTCCCCATAGAATATATTCTATATATTGTACTGTATTTACCATTTGTATAGTATTGAATGATAGGTTTGCTAATTTTGTATGGGTTGATGAAGGTGCTCGGGATCATTTGTCTTTAGTAAGGTGATGCTGATACAAGTAAAAAGAGTACTGATGAAATTATTTTTATGCAGTTTTGTATAATTATATCCCTTAACTGTGGCATTCTTGCAAATTAAATTTCCTGTGTGTGTGTGTGTGTGTGTGTGTGTATACGTACATACTTGCCTAGTTGTGGTTGCAGGGGTTAAGTCACAGCTCCTGGCCCCACCTGTTCACTCTTCACTTGTGTGTTTGAGAGAGAGAGAACAAGAGTAAGCTAGCAAGCAAGATTTTGAAAAAAAAAAAATCTCAGATTGAAAGAGTGCATGTTTTGAATCATATAAGATTAAAAGTGTGAAATCTAATAAAAACTTAACGATTTTATAGTGTGTTAAGTTGGCGAAAAATTATCAATCGTCAGCGACAGTGGCATAAATATGCCAGCAATATTTAAGTTTTAAAATTTGATACCAAATGATGATTTGTTTGTTTTTTAATGTTTAACACTATGTAACACTAGTTTTTGTATATTAGATGCCTGTTAGCTTCAAACGTAGAGAAATGCATAGCCCAACATAGCTCCACTTGGAATGTACAGTATGAACAGGTACCAGTACTATTTTTTTCATATTTGCTCTTCCGATCTTCTGACACTATGTACAAGGAATGCTTATGATACTACATTTGTTTCAAGATGTAATACTCCTCAAAACATGGAAATAAGACACTTTGTTTGACTATATTGGATTATCTTGTGTTAAATTGACATAGTGTACTTTTTGGCTTAATTCCACTGTTAGTATCATAAAATTGTAATAAATTTAGAATAAGGCATCGTCGTGCCACATTCACACCCTTTTTACTGGTAGTGTAATATTAGGTCTTGGTTTCATTATTTACTTATGCTAGTTAGACAGCATTAACCATGATGTCTTGCAAGGACTTGTCTTGCCTTTGAAAGTACCTACGGCATGAAGAGGTTATAGGAGACCCATTATTATTATTATTATTATTATTATTATAATCATGGGGGAGCGCTAAACCCGTAGGTTATATGGCGCATGTGGGGGGGGGGGGTTGGAAGGCATTCAGGCTCAATTCAGGGAACTGGAGCACAGATCCAATTCCCTTGATCAAGAGCCCCTCACCAGCATCAAGGAACCTCCCTCGAGGGGTATAGGAGACTCGGACAGTTGTACATGGTCAAAAATATTAAGGTTTTTCAGTGGCAATTTTTATTCTTTTTTTTTTTCTACGTTATTTAAGGAGGGGTGTTAATGTTGCTGTTTTATAATTGTAGGTGTAAGAACACCTCTGGCAAGACAATGATGGAGTGAATGATGGTGAAAGTTTTCCATTTTTGGGCCACCCTGCCTTGGTGGGAAATGGCCAATGTGTTAATAAATAAATAATTAATGGTGCTTCCTATTTTATTGCTTGTACTCACTTTGCTCCTAATTATCTTTCCTTTTCTATAAGTATTTATTGTATTTTTTAAACTATTCTAGGTCGTATTGGGCGTGGAACCCTAGCAGTAGAATTGCAGTTGATATCAGATAAGGTGCTAGTGGCTGGTCGTACTCATGCTGAGGAGGAAGACATAGCAGCTGATGCTCCAGAGGAATTCCTTGACCCAATCATGTCACATCTGATGACTGACCCCGTTATTTTGCCATCATCTAGGGTAAGCAAGACCACTAGTGCCACTCTTATCTGGTTTAAATGAGTTACTATTTTAGGTGTTTAATAAACCATTTCTTAATGAGAAACAACTGCAGTTGGTTAAGTTTGTAATGCTTGGTGTGAATAATAATAATGTGAGGCTTGTGATTTATGCTTTAGAAAGAGGATTTTTAATGAAATTTTACTTTCAAAATGTATGTAACTGTTAAAAAAATTAGGTGATATTTTAGACATTTTGAGAGCCACTGGTAATTCAGATCATTATGGGCAGATAAGAAGCAGTTGTTTTAAAATGACTTGACATTATATGGATGTATAGGTGATGTTAGATTATTTGAATGCTAAGTTTAGTAGAGTTAAGTTGTTTGGAGTTAGTTATTAATAATTTATAATTATTGGGTGGTAGTAGTAACAGTAATTGTATGAATACTGATTGCAATCTGGATAAGCATGTGGCATTACATATATCTGACATTTTTATTTAATCTACATAAATCTGCATCAAAATTAAGTTTTTTTTTTTTTTTTTAACTACTTCACTGGCCATGCCGCAGTACTACGGATTTGAAGGCACTGTTAGTGCTGTAGTACTATGCCATTAGCTCAGCTCATTCAGATAAGCTGGGAGTGGTAAATTTGGCCCTAGATATGAGAGAATAGGCCTGTGCAGTAAGTGTGCACCATATAAAAAAAGTCCTGCTGCACACAGTCCATGAGAAAAAGAAAACTGCAGCAGTGTTTTTGGTTTAAAATGGCAACTGTAGTGTATTTTCATATGGTTTTTGTGGTTGTATTCTCGGTTTCATGGCCTCATTTGATAGAATGGAAGATATATTACAGAAATAGAGATGATTTTGATTGGTTTCAGGACTGAGAATTGAAATTGACCTCAAAGTAGTGGAAATGTTTGATTTTGCCAATAATCAAAATTAAACAAATCAAGTCACTCGTCCAATACACGTCCAGTTGGTGGGTCTAATATGAGTTCATGAATGCACTGATATTATTTATACAATTATTACAATATGGCATAACAGTAAATCTTCTATATTTTTGTTAATAAAAATTCATTGTGTGAATAAATCAAAATGGATTTGATGTGTAAAGCCTTGGAACATAACTAATAAACAGAGGAAATGTTATTTTAGTGCCAGGAATGTCTGCATTGTTTATTCTGGACCCTATTTTGAAATTTGTGTGAAATTGGCCCATTTACCAATTTCTGATCACTTTATTCTATAGTTGAAATAGTTGATTGGGCAATTTCTTGTGCTCAGTTGATAAAATGGAACACATACTAGCAAAATAGCTAAGAATTTGGTCAACTGGAACAATGTAATTGGCCTAAAGTAGGATTTGAAGTAGGCAAAATCGCTGATGCATAAATATCACTGACAGCAAAATTTGCAAAAGCATAATTTTGTCAGTTTTTCCATCAAATTTCATACTTTTTGGTTTATTACCTTAAGAAAAAAAGATTCTCTACCATTTCATAAGAAAAATAAAATTCTTTTGAAAATTCTTGGACAGTGTGGACAAGTTTCAGATTGGGCATCTGGACAGTGAGAGGGTTAACAGTATTTTTGAAGCAGCTTTGGACCTAATGTAAATTAGTCAGTAATGTGGTACTTTGTTCTGCATTCAAATACAGCCTCTCCTCACTTAATGTTGGAGTTCCGTTCCCAAGACCACATTTGTCGCTAAGAAAGGAGCATACTGTAATGGTAGTGGGTTTGTGTCAGCCATCTTTGATATTGTTTTAATGTCACCTTTGCACCATTTGTAACATTTCTAGTATATATTTAAATGTTTTAAGGTAGTAGGTTGGTAGACAGCAACCACCCAGGGAGGTACTACCGTCCTGCCAAGTGAATGTAAAACAATAGCCTGTAATTGTTTTACATGATGGTAATTGCTGGTGTCTTTTGTCTGTCTCGTAAATATGCAAGATTACAGGTACGTCTTGCTACTTCTACTTACACTTAGGTCACACTACACACAAATGTACATGTTTATTTATACACACTCATCAAAGTTTTTTTTTATTTTATCTTAATAGTTCTTGTTCATATTACTTTTCCTTTATGTCCATGGGGAAGTGGAATAAGAATCTTTCCTTCGTAAGCCATGCATGTTGTAAAAGTCAACTAAAATGCCAGGAACAATGGGCTAGTAACCCCTTTTCCTGTAATAATTACTAAAAAGAATAAGAAGAAGAAAATTGTCAAAGTGGGATGTCTGAATGTACGTGGATGATAAGACAGAGATGATTGTGGATGTTATGAATAAGAAGAAGCTGGATGTCCTGGCTTTAAGTGAAACAAACCTGAAGGGGGTGGGTGAGTTTCAGTGCAGAGGAATAAATGGGATTAGGTCAGGGGTTTCAAATAGAGTTAGAGCTAAAGAAGGAGTAGGAATAATGTTGAAGGATAAGCTATGGCAGGAAAAGAGGGACTATAAATGTATTAATTCAAGGATTATGTGGAGTAAAATAAAGGTTAGATGTGAAAGTGGGTTATAGTAAGCGTGTATGCACCTGGATAAGATAAGATTTCGTTCGGATTTTTAACCCCCGGAGGGTTAGCCACCCAGGATAACCCAAGAAAGTCAGTGCGTCATTGAGGACTGTCTAACTTATTTCCATTGGGGTCCTTAATCTTGTCCCCCAGGATGCGACCCACACCAGTCGACTAACACCCAGGTACCTATTTGCTGCTAGGTGAACAGGACAACAGGTGTAAGGAAACGTGTTGAATGTTTCCACCCGCCGGGAATCGAACCCGGGCCCTCCGTGTGTGAAGCGGGAGCTTTAGCCACCAGGCCACCGGGCCTGGTGGGAGAGAGAGAGATTTTGGGAAATGTTGAGTGAATGCATGGGGAGTTTTGAACCAAGTGTGAGAGTACTTGTGGTTGGGGATTTCAATGCTAAAGTGGGTAAAAATGTTGTGGAGGGAGTAGTAGGTAAATTTGGGGTGCCAGGGGTAAATGAAAATGGGGAGCCTTTAATTGAGCTATATGTAGAAAGAGGTTTGGTAATAAGTAATACTTATTTTATGAAAAAGAGGATAAATATACAAGGTATGATGTAGCATGGAATGAAAGTAGTTTATTAGATTATGTATTGGTGGATAAAGGTTGATAGGCTCCAGGATGTACACGTTTATAGAGGGGCAACTGATATATCAGATCATTATTTAGTTGTAGCTACAGTTAGAGTAAAAGGTAGATGGGACAAGAGGAAAATGACAACAAGAAGTAAGAGGGAGGTGAAAGTGTATAAACTAAGGGAGGAGGAAGTTTGGGTGAGATATAAGCAACTATTGGCAGAAAGGTGGGCTGGTGCAAGTATAAGTAGTGGGAGGGTTGGAATAGTTTTAAAAATGCAGTATTAGAATGTGGGGCAGAAGTTTGTGGTTATAGGAGGGTGGGTGCAGGAGGAAAGAGGAGTGATTGGTGGAATGATGAAGTAAAGGATGTGATAAGAGAAAAAGTTAGCTTATGAGAGGTTTTTACAAAGCAGAAGTGTTATACGAAGAGTAGAGTATATGGAAAGTAAAAGAAAGGTGAAGACAGTGGTGAGAGACTGCAAAAGGAGAGCAGATGATAGTGGGAGAGGCACTGTCAAGAAATTTTAATGACAAGAACAAATTTTGGAGCGAGTTAAACAACTTAAGAAAGCCTAGGGAACGAATGGATGTGTCAGTTAAAAAACAGAGTAGGGAAGTTAGTAGATGGGGAGATAGAGGTATTGGGTAGATGGCGTGAATATTTTGAGGAACTTTTATATGTCGACGAAAAAAGGGAGGCGGTAATTTCATGCACTGGCCAGGGAGGTATACCATCTTGTAGGAGTGAAGAGAAGGATGCGAGTATGGGGGAGGTGCGTGAGGCATTACATAGAATGAAAGGGGGTAAAGCAGCTAGAACTGTCGGGATCATGACAGAAATGTTAAAAGCCGGGGGGATATAGTGTTGGAGTGGTTGGTATTTTTGTTTAATAAATGTATGAAAGAGGGGAAGATACCTCAGGATTGGCAGAGAGCATGTATAGTCCCTTTATATAAAGGGAAGGGGGACAAAAGAGATTGTAAAAATTATAGAGGAATAAGTAGGTTGGTAGACAGCAACCACCCAGGGAGGTACTACCGTCCTGCCAAGTGAATGTAAAACAAAAGCCTGTAATTGTTTTACATGGTGGTAGGATTGCTGGTGTCTTTTGTCTGTCTCATAAATATGCAAGATTACAGGTATGTCTTGCTACTTCTACTTACACTTAGGTCACACTACACATACATGTACACGTTTATTTATACACTCATCTGAGTTTTCTTTGATTTTATCTTAATAGTTCTTGGTCTTATTACTTTTCCTTTTATATCCATGGGGAAGTGGAATAAGAATCTTTCCTCCGTAAGCCATGCGTGTTGTAAAAGTCGACTAAAATGCCGGGAACAATGGGCTAGTAACCCCTTTTCCTGTAAAGATTACTAAAAAGAATAAGAAGAAAATTGTCAAAGTGGGAAGTCTGAATGTGCGTGGATGTTGCGCAAATGATAAGAAAGAGATGATTGTGGATGTTATGATTGAGAAGAAGCTGGATGTCCTGGCTTTAAGTGAAACGAAGCTGAAGGGGGTGGGAGAGTTTCAATGGAGAGGAATAAATGGGATTAGGTCAGGGGTTTCAAATAGTTAGAGCTAAAGAAGGAGTAGCAATAATGTTGAAGGATAAGCTATGGCAGGAAAAGAGGGACTAGAAATGTATAAATTCAAGGATTATGTGGAGTAAAATAAAGATTGGATGTGAAAAGTGGGTTATAGTAAGCGTGTGTGCACCTGGAGAAGAAAGAAGTGTAGAGGAGAGAGAGAGATTTTGGGAAATGTTGAGTGAATGCGTGGGGAGTTTTGAATCAAGTGTGAGAGTAATGGTGGTTGGGGATTTCAATGCTAAAGTGGGTAAAAATGTTATGGAGGGAGTAGTAGGTAAATTTGGGGTGCCAGGGGTAAATGTAAATGGGGAGTCTTTAATTGAGCTATGTGTAGAAATAGATTTGGTAATAAGTAATACATATTTTATGAAAGAGGATAAATAAATATACAAGGTATGATGTAGCATTTAGTGAAAGTAGTTTGTTAGATTATGTATTGGTGGATAAAAGGTTGATGGGTAGGCTCCAGGATGTACATGTTTATAGAGGGGCAACTGATATATCGGATCATTATTTAGTTGTAGCTACAGTTAGAGTAAGAGGTAGATGGGAAAAGAGGAAGGTGGCAACAACAAGTAAGAGGGAGGTGAAAGTGTATAAACTAAGGGAGGAGGAAGTTCGGGGGAGATACAAGCGACTGTTGGCACAAAGGTGGGCTAGTGCAAAGATTAGTGGGGGGGGTTGAAGAGGGTTGGAATAGTTTTAAAAATGCAGTAGTATTAGAATGTGGGGGCAGAAGTTACTTTTTGCTGATGATACTGTGCTTATGGGAGATTCTAAAGAAAAATTGCTAAGGTTAGTGGATGAGTTTGGGAATGTGTGTAAAGGTAGAAAGTTGAAAGTGAACATAGAAAAGAGTAAGGTGATGAGGGTATCAAATGATTTAGATTAAGAAAAATTGGATATCAAATTGGGGAGGAGGAGGAGTATGGAAGAAGTGAATGTTTTCAGATACTTGGGAGTTGACGTGTCGGCGGATGGATTTATGAAGGATGAGGTTAATCATAGAATTGATGAGAGAAAAAAGGTGAGTGGTGCATTGAGGTATATGTGGAGTCAAAAAACGTTATCTATGGAGGCAAAGAAGGGAATGTATGAAAGTATAGTAGTACCAACACTCTTATATGGGTGTAAAGTTTGGGGGTGGTAAATGCAGCAGCGAGGAGACGGTTGGAGGCAGTGGAGATGTCCTGTCTAAGGGCAATGTGTGGTGTAAATATTATGCAGAAAATTCGGAGTGTGGAAATTAGGAAAAGGTGTGGAGTTAATAAAAGTATTAGTCAGGGGGCAGAAGAGGACTTGTTGAGGTGGTTTGGTCATTTAGAGAGAATGGATCAAAGTAGAATGACATGGAAAGCATATAAATCTATAGGGGAAGGAAGGCGAGGTAGGGGTCGTCCTCGAAAGGGTTGGAGAGAGGGGATAAAGGAGGTTTTGTGGGCAAGGGGCATGGACTTCCAGCAAGCGTGCGTGAGCGTGTTAGATAGGAGTGAATGGAGACAAATGGTACTTGGGACCTGACGATCTGTTGGAGTGTGAGCAGGGTAATATTTACTGAAGGGATTCAGGGAAACCGGTTATTTTCATATAGTCGGACTTTAGTCCTGGAAATGGGAAGTACAATGCCTGCACTTTAAAGGAGGGGTTTGGGATATTGGCAGTTTGGAGGGATATGTTGTGTATCTTTATACGTATATGCTTCTAAACTGTTGTATTCTGAGCACCTCTGAAAAACAGTGATTATGTGTGTGTGGTGAAAGTGTTGAATGATGATGAAAGCATTTTCTTTTTGGGGATTTTCTTTCTTTTTTGGGTCACCCTGCCTCGGTGGGAGACACGGCCGACTTGTTGAAAAAAAAAAATAAAGTTTATAGAGTATACCAGGAAAAGTGTTTGGTAGGGTTATTATTGAAAGAATTAGAGGTAAGACAGAATGTAGGATTGCAGATGAGCAAGGAGGTTTTAGTGGGTAGGGGATGTGTAGATCAAGTGTTTACATTGAAGCATATATGTGAACAGTATTTAGATAAGTTAGGGAAGTTTTTATTGCATTTATAGATTAAGAAAAGGCATATGATAGTGGATAGGGGAGCAATGTGGCAGATGTTACAAGTACGTATATGGAATAGGTGGTAAGTTACTAAATGCTGTAAAGAGTTTTTATGAGGATAGTGAGGCTCAGGTTAGGGTGTGTAGAAGAGAGGGAGACTACTTCCTGGTAAAAGTAGGTCTTAGACAGGGATGTGTAATGTCACCATGGTTGCTTAATATATTTATAGATTGGGGAATCAAATACAAAATGGGAATTGACAGTTAATTTTTGCTGATGATACTGTGCTTATGGGAGATTCTAAAGAAAAATTGCAAAGGTTAGTGGACGAGTTTGGGAGTGTGTGTAAAGGTAGAAAGTTGAAAGTGAACATAGAAAAAGAGTAAAGTGATGAGGGTATCAAATGATTTAGATAAAGAAAAATTGGATATAAAATTGGGGAGGAAGAGTATGGAAGAAGTGAATGTTTTCAGATATTTGGGAGTTGATGTGTCAGCAGATGGATTTATGAAGGATGAGGTTAATCATAGAATTGATGAAGGAAAAAAAGCGAGTGGTGTGTTGAGGTATATGTGGAGACAAAAAACGTTATCTATGCAGGCAAAAAAGGGAATGTATGAAAGTATAGTAGTACCAACACTCTTATATGGGTGTGAAGCTTGGGTTTTAAATGCTGCAGCGAGGAGGCAGTGGAGATGTCTTGTCTAAGGGCAATGTGTGGTGTGAATATTATGCAGAAAATTCATAGTGTGGAAATTAGGAGAAGGTGTGGAATTAATAAAAGTATTAGTCAGAGGGCTGAAGAGGGGTTGTTGAGGTGGTTTGGTCATTTAGAGAGAATGGATCAAAGTAGAATGACATGGAGAGCGTACAAGTCTGTAGGGGAAGGAAGGCGGGGTAGGGGTCGTCCTCGAAAAGGTTGGAGGGAGAGGGTAAAGGAGGTTTTGTGGGCGAGGGGCTTGGACCTCCAGCGTGCGTGAGCGTGTTAGATAGGAGTGAATGGAGATGAATGGCATTTGGGATCTGATGAGCTGTTGGAGTGTGAGCAGGGTAATATTTATTGAAGGGATTCAGGGAAACCGGTTATTTTTTTTATAGTCAGACTTGAGTCCTGGAAATGGGAAGTACAATACTTGCACTTTAAAGGAGGGTGGTTAGGGATATGTTGTGTATCGTTATACCTATATGCTTCTAAACTCTTTTTCTGAGCACCTCTGCAAAAACAGTGATTATATGCGAGTGAGATGAAAGTATTTTTTTTTTTGGATCACTCTGCCTCGGTGGGAGATGGCCAACTTGTTAAAAAAGAAAAAAAAAAAAATATTAACCTACCGTATAAATTTTTTTTTTAATAAACAGAATAGAGGAAATCAGCTCTAATATACATTATTTAGGTATGCATACTGGTCAGAGAGCCCGTCATAAGTCCGAATCGTCGGTAAACTAGTACATCACTAAATGAGGAGAGGCTGTACATACAGTAGTTAGAATGTGTTATTATTATTTTATTTATTATAACAAAACTCAACTATTATACCCACAAGGATCATACAATACTGCATTAGAATGTATAATACTTGAGGTATGCCCTTACAATTTTGCACCATTATATCTTCAGTTTCTAAATTGATCTGTGTAATTGTTACAGAAATGTAGTATGTATGCATGAAATATCCCAGGGTTTATAATGATTAAAAAAAAAATTATTTACTTCACAGTTAACGTGCGACAGACATACCATCGCGCGACACCTTCTGTCTGACCAAACAGATCCTTTTAACCGTCAGCCACTCAACATGGAAGAGGTCCGTCCCAACACTGAACTCAAGGAAAGAATTATGGCCTGGTTGAAGGAGCAGCGTGCGCTAAGAGCAAGAAGAGCTGTAGCTCAGGAGGAAATGAAAGATTCTAATTAACTGAGAAAAAAATCTTATGCTTTTATAATACCTGTGTATAGCTCCTTAAGATGTCTTGAAAACAAGTTTACTTGTACAAATGGCAAACTTGTTAAACCCCCTATTTTTCTTAAAATTAAAAAATAGTTTGCATCACTAATGGAGGATAGTTTTATTTAAGTGTTACTGAAGTGTTTGATGTTCAAAGATGCATCAGATGTGTGATATTAGTAGATAATTGTTCTACATTCCTCCTTGGATTATTGATGGAAAATGTTTAATAAATTTTGTGTTATATATTGTTTTTAAACCTATGGAAAGGTAGTAAATAGTTCTTGTCACAAATATACAGCATTGCCAAAATTTGAAATTGGTGCAGGAAGTCCCTGGGTTTACAATTAATAACCCCCTTGATGCTGGTGAGGGGCACTCGATGTAAGACCCTCGAGGAAGGTCCCTCATAAGGGGCTGCTGCTTCCTTCGAATCAACCACGATTGCTTCCCATCCCCAAAACACTATGACCCCTGCAGGTTTAGTGCTTCCCCATTATTGTAATCATCCTAAACTGATAGTGGTTCTGAACAAACCGAAATACAGTGGAACCTTGACTTACGAGTGTCCCAGCGTACAAGTTTTTTGAGATGCAAGCTGTCCCCGAGTCGATTTTTTGCTCTGAGTTACGAGCCAGTTCCCCCTCGACCCAAAATCTGGACACCTTGCTTGTTTATCTATGATTTCATGCTTTAATTCCATGGAAATTATCCTCTTTCTTCTCAGCACTGTTCTTTACACTTACTTCCTTAACCCCTTCAGGGTCCAAGGCCCAAATCTGAAGTGGTGCCCCAGTGTCCAAGAATTTTCAAAAAGAAAATTTATTTTTTCTTATGAAATAGTAGAGAATCTTTTTGTGAAGGTAATAAAACAAAAAGTACGAAATTTGATGGAAAATTGGCGAAATTATGCTCTTGCGAATTTTGGTGTCAGCGATATTTACGAATCGGCGATTTTGCCAACTTTGACTCCCCTTTTAGGCCAATTACATTATTCCAGTCAACCAAATTTTTAGCTATTTCACTAGTATTACTTCTATTCTATCGATTTAGCACAAGAAATCGCCAAGTCAACTGTTTCAACTACAAATTAAAATGATCGGAAATTGTTAATTTGGCCAATTTAACACAAAGTTCAAAATATTCCAATTTCAAAATAGGGTCCAGAACAAACAATGTAGGTATTCCTGGAACTAAACTAACATTTCTTCTGTTCATTAGTTACGTTTTGAGACTTTACAAATGAATTCCATTTTGATATTTTATTCACATAATGAATTTTTATTCACACCAAAAAATAGAAGATTTACTGTTATGCAATACTGTAATAATTGTATAAATATCATCACCATATTTGTGAATGCATATTAGACCCACCAGCTGGCGTGTATTAGATGTGTGAGGTCGTTTGTTTACTCTTGATTATTATTATTATTATAATCAAGGGGGAAGCGCTAAACCCGGAGGATTATACAGCGCCTGGGGGGGGATGTGGAAGGCATTCAGGCTTAATTCGGGGAACTGGAGCACAGATCCAATTCCCTAAATCAAGAGCCCCTCACCAACATCAAGGAACCTTCCTTGAGGGGACGTTTACTCTTGAATATCGGCAAAAATTTAACATTTCTGCTACTTTGAGCTCAGTTTCAAGCCATTTCCAGTGCTAAAACCAATCAAAATCATCTCTATTTCTGTAATATGTCTTCCATTCTATCAAATGAGACCAAGAAATCGCAAATAGATCTATAAAAAACATACGAAAAAACACTGCAAAGTCGCTGTTTTAATCAAAAAATCATGATTTCAGTTTTTTTCTCTCATTATACACAGCGTGCTGCAGGATCTGTTTTATGTGGTGCACACATACCACATAGATGTATTCTCTCATATCTAGGCCCAAATGTACCACTCACAGTTTATCAGAGTGAGCTGAGCTCATGACGTAGATCTACGGTTTGGACCCTGAACGTAAAGCCGTAGATCTACGGGACGGACCCTCAAAGGGTTAAGGGCCTATGCTTAGAAAAACAAAATTTGGCCAGATGACTGTCAAAAATGTAAGCAAAGCATGAGAGAACTGCTCCCACAGCAAAGTAAACAGTGCACTGAGTTGGCAGCTTTCATTATTATAATAATAAATAAGTTTTTTTTTTTTTTCAACAAGTCTGCAGTCTCCCACTGAGGCAGGGTGACCCAAAAAAAGAAAATACTTTCATCATCATTCAACACTTTCACCTCGCTCACACATAATCCTGTTTTTGCAGAGGTGCTCAGAACACAAAAGTTTAGAAGCATATACGTATAAATATACAACATATCCCTCCAAACTGCTAATATCCCAAAACCCCTCCTTTAGAGTGCAGGCATTGTACTTCCCATTTCCAGGACTCGAGTCCGGCTATATAAAAATAACCGGTTTCCCTGAATCCCTTCACTAAATATAGTATTATTAATTTAGGTAACTAGAGCATCGATCCAATTCCCTAGATCACAGAGCTTCAGTTCCCTAAATTATTAATAATAATTCAGAATGCTGCCACTAGTTGGCACAGCTGATGCCAAAACATCTGGTAAGCAGCACACATTTACATCGCTGTAGGAGCAGTTCTCTCATGCTTGCATTTTTTTTTTTTTTACAATCATTTGGCCAAATTCCTTTTTTTCTAACCATGGGTCCTAAGAAAAATGTGTGCAAAGGACAGTGCTGAGAAGAAAAAGAGGTCGATTTCCTTGGACTTAGCCAGGCAATACCAACTTAGTACATCTACGATATGCAGATACTAAACCTGTATCAGTTATGTTCAGTGATTAAACAAAACAAAAATTGTTGTTGGAGTTTTACAGGGCCACTGACATCATACGCCGCACCCTCAACCTCCTCCACCCTCAACATCCCCCACCATCTCTGCTCAAAGTGTGTAAGTACATACATGTACACTTTATATATTTTTTTTTCAACATTCTGTAGTGTATTATGATTTATGTTTTTATATACATTTCTGCAGTTAGCTTCACAAATACTCTGTTTTCTTTTACAATAAAAGCATGGGAAGATACTCTAGTAAAAGTTGGACAGGAAATGGCGGACACTTCTGCCGCTGCCTCTGCCACCATATTATGGGCCATTTTATTCATTCTAGAATATATATCATGTGTGTGTTAATTATACTGTTTATGTCATATTAGACGAATTGTGATAGATAAATAAGCTGTACAGTTAATATTAGTGTCATATTCAAGTATTTTGTCTTGTCTCCTGGGTATGGGAACGGATTAATGGCTTTTCAATTAATTTAAATGAGGAAAATTGATTTGATATACGAGTAAATTGAGTTACGACGTAGGTCATGGAACAAATTAAACTCGTAAGTCAAGGTTCCACTGTATCTAAAATTTCCTCCAATTTGTGACTTAGTTGTAAAGAAAATTTTTCATATTTAAGGTAATAAGATATAAAATCAGCTTCCAATATTCTTTGCATAACAATAAATAGGGAAATGAGCAGTCATAAACAACACATCTGTATTTGCTGTAAAAGTTACTTTCATGTCAAAGAGGGGCATCTCAGAATTTGATGTAACATTACTGTAACCTATAAAAGTCTATGCAATAGATCAGGTAAGAATAACAACATAATTGATACATAATATAACCAGGCACTCTTGTCAAAGACCCACACTTGGCCAACTTTTGTTTAGTATTGCTGCCAGTGAACCAAATAAAAAACATGAAAAGTGAGAAAACACAGAGACAAAATGGAAGTGTGTAAACTATTTCGGCCTTAGAGACCCTCTAGAGCAGCTCATTGAAGTAGGTCTCTGACCGAGGACAAAATATAAAGATCACCCTGCCTCCTACCGAGGCAGGGTGATCAAAAAAATCTTTCACCATCATTCGCACATAATCACTGTGTTTGCAGAGGCGCTCGGATATGACAGTTTACATGTCACTCCAAACAGTCAATATCCCCAACCCCTCCTTTAAAGTGCAGGCATTGTACTTACCACCTTCAGAACTAAAGTCCGGCTAACTGGTTTCCCAGAATCCCATCACAAAATATTACCCTGCTCACACTCCAACGTCTCGTCAGTTGCATTATAACCTTTCCTGTACATTTTTGTTTCTACATATACACACTGGCTCTGATTACTTTCCTTACTTTTCTTATCAGTGCAACTGTTTTCTTGTTTTGTATGCATACAAACACTGACCCTGAACTTAACCTATTAAACAATATAGTATATACAGCCACCAGCAGCTTACTGACCAAAACTGAAAGTACTATACAACACACACACTTAGAAGTGATCTGAAGAAAAGTAATTACTAAAGCACTTAGTAACCTAGTTATAAGTAAACAACAATAAAGTCATAACATTACTCAAATTTGTGACACCAAATTCTCTCCTATTAACCAAAATCTGGCTGAAATGCATCACAAACTTATTCAACATACCTGAGTACACTATAGACCTGGGTAACTATAGACCACCCCTCAAGGAAGATTCCTTGATGGTGGTGAGGGACTCTTGCTCTAGGGAACTGGATCTGTGCTCCAGTTCCCTGAATTAAGCCTGAATACCTTCTATCCCCCCCCCATTTGCACTGTATAATCCTATGGGTTTAGTGCTCCCCCATGATTATAATTACATACCATCCAATAAAAGTGGTGATATGGCTATTTAATATGCTAGCAAATTCAAATGCATGAATATCATAATACCCCCACACAAACATACAAAACTTCAGTGATAATCTAAAACATAATTCACAACAAATTTTATAAAAATCACATAAATGCTGTGATTTCAACATAAACCTCTGCCGAGTATACAATCCTGAGTATCAAGTTTCCTAGATAGTATGTAATTTTTTCTTCCTAATACCATTAATCACTAAACCCACTAGAACACTTTAACATCTCTGCCCTTGCTCATATCTGGACCAATACAGTAGCACCCCAAAGTAGAAACATAATTACGGAAAGGGAAATGGACTACCACCCTACTGTTATAATTAATATCACAAAAAACACACTTAAAAACCAAACAGATTACCTTTAGACTCCATAGTAATACTTCAATAAATCCATTGATACCATTAAACATACAAAAAGGAAAGGAAGCTAAATATCAGTTAGAATGCAAATTCCGCAAAAGATGCAGCAAACAACAAAAGGCAAAATAACCAATGGTTAGTAAAAAGCTTGCTCGGATCAACTGACAAACCCGATAACGAGAAATACAGATCAGGCTTCATTTCTGAGTGAATAATAAAGTGGTATTCTGCAACCCTCACTACTGTTATTAGGATCCGATGAAAACTATTCAGCTAGATTTAATAAGACCAAAGGAGATATAAAAACTTGGAAAAAACTCCCAAATTCTAGTACATCAAAAATACCAAGAAATATACAACTGAACCTAAACAAAATAGCTTTGCTACAAAAATATTTCAAAAGCTCAAACAAACATCAGTAGCTATCTGACAGGCAATTATCCCAACTCTTCCTACGTGGCTCTTACTACACCTGCAGAAATAACATCAATAATAAAATCCCTTAAAATAGCAGCTAGTAGTGCAATCATCTACAAAAAAGGCTGCACATGTTATCTCTAGCTATTGCAATACTTTTCAACACATTTGAAGAACAAACCTTTATAGATACTCTTGAAGAGAGTCATGATAACAGCCATTCACAAAGGTGGTAATTCAACTGACTGTTAACTTCAGACCTGTCTATAATCTACCAGTACTATTCAAAATGTTTGAGAAAATAATACACAAGCAATTGTACACGTACCTAACCATGCACAATATACTTATTCCTTGTATTTAGCACTTAGTTTTGATTATAATAACTTTATCCTTGTCAACTTGGGTTCAGCTCTTAAATAAAACACAATGATGCAACGAGAATAATGTCTCGGTTTATTCAGTACTTAAGAGAGAGGAGTATGTTATTGACTTTTCATCGGTCTGCAAAAGGTCTTTCATGCTCTCTACCACAGTAGTACTCTCATCTCCAAGCTTGATCACTACCAACACAGAGGACACAGTTACACACATTTCCAGCCCTACTTCAGTAACACTCAACAGCATGTAACCATAAATTATCCTGTTACGTAAAAGGACACAAGTGCAGCAAATGTGACATTTTATTGTGGCAACGTTTCACTCTCCAGGAGCTTTATCAAGCCATTACAAACAATACATGGGCAAAGAGGGTATATATAGGCTTAGAATGAGGTGTAATACTAGTACATACATGTAGTAGTAGTAATACAGTATTAATTGTAGTAGTAGTGGAAATATGATATGGTAGAATAAACAACTTGCACATGGGTAGCATAAAAATAGGTTAGACAAATATTTCTGTGGTGGTTGGATTTAAGAAGACTTGTTTCATTAGCTGCACTTGTGTCCTTTTACCTAACATATTGCCAGTAATTCTACCAAAATTAATACATAAATTATCCTACCCATAAACTTGTATGTCCCTCAAACCAGCAGTCTGAGCCCTCTTCTCTTCCTCATCCATATCAGTGACCTACTTAATGCCATCTAGTCCCTGAAACATGTACTTCTTGCTGACAACACAACCTTCATAATACTAGGTCCAGACCACCATGTCAATTATGTCAATAAGCTCCATAGTGAATGATGAACTTAAAAAGGGCACGCATGGATGAGTATTAACATACTCACCCTCAGTACTGAAAAATCATTCTATATATTGTATATAGTGTGGGGAACAAACCATGTCTACAATTAGATATTTGAATCAATACTCGTGTAGCACAAAAACAAGAGAGAAACTTTTTAGGTCTAATAATTGACAACAAACATATTTAATGTGCATATCCAACACTTAAATCTTGAAACTGTAGGGATACATTCCTAGATTCTCAATTGTGTTCCACAACTTGCACTCTTAACACTTTACAATATCTATGCATACCGTACATGGGATCTTTACCTGAGGATTTGATTCGGCAACTCTCCTCATGTCAATTATAACACACCAAAAGGTAATGCTCAGAACAATCACAAACTTAACAAATAACAAACAATCACAAACCTACAAAATATAAATACCATTTACATTACCATTCAATCCACATGTCCAGAACCTTACACTGCAATGCTAATGGCAATCTTAGGCAATTCCTAGAAAGCTAGAATAACATCAGAATCAAATACCTCTTTAATATCCTTTGTACTTGATTGAACATCCACTGACATTTGAATTTAAAGGACAAAATATGTGCAATAACTTAACAAAATAAAAAATTGCAGCATTCTTATTTCAGAATTCAGAGCTAAGATACAACAAACACTGTTCCTTAATACTATAGTCATCCTATTTAACAATCTTTATTTGTAAATACTCTGTACAATTTTGTATTGATATCTCTAAATACTGTACAGTAGGATCCCCGTATCCATGGGGGATATGTTCCAAGGACCTGCCATAGATAACCAAACCGTGGATAGTAGCAAGCCCTATATATATAAATCCTATACATACAAATCCTATACATACCTGTTATAAAGTTTAATTGATAAATTATGCACAATAAGTGGAGAATTATCACTTTTTCACTGATCAGAAGCATTTCACAGTTTCTCTTAGGCTTTGATGAACTGCCAGCTTTTCTATTTTTGCAGTTTGGGACCATTATGAAAAATTAAGAGGTATTTTTGGACCACAGTAAACTGTGGATAACTGAAACCCCGGATACTGAATCAATGGATACGGGGTTTCAAGTTTATTACCATTTGCTTCAATGCACTCTACTGAACTTTGTTAGATGTAATAATTATTTATAGTAACAATCACATTAAACTAAGCACTCCGTTAAGCATGTTATGAAAGGAGTCATATAATAATGCACACAAGTTTACAAAAAAAAATTTAATGACAGTGGTTAAGTAGATGCTTAGTATATGTATTACCTGACAACACAAAAATTTCTAAACTCTTCATAAGTGATGTAATACTGATGTAAAAATGAATAATAAACAGCTGGTCCCTATATTTTTAGCTCACCATCTTGACAGATGGCACTCTGGCTACTTGTAAATAATAGGCTAAGAGTTCTGCAAAGACTAACATACTCTAGGCTTAGGCACCCAGTGACGTATAACAAGAGTACAGGGTGAAAAAGCACAAAAAAGTCGGTTTGTCATAGTATTCCACTGTTGATGTGGCTATCATGAGCACCAGCCTGCTGACTCAGTAGCAGTTTAAATGTTTTGGTACCATTTTTAATAATGTATTTGTTAGCACTTGTAACTGTACGTACTTTATTAATGTGTTGGTGCCAGAAGCAATTAAGTAACACACTAAGGTTATAGGAGTGTGTGGGGACATACTGCACTTAGCAGTTCAGTCTCAGACATGATCAATCTGAAATTGATAGCTGAAATTGTCATTAAACAGTGTTATCCAGTGTGCAGTAATTCAATATCATTGTACAAAAAAAAAAAAACATTACGGGCAGGAATTGAGCCTGTGGTTTGTTTGCGTTTGTGTTATTACAATTCTGCGAGCCATTCATTGTAATGTTTTAAGCATTATTCCAGAGTTCTCATTAAACATTTTATCTAGTTTCATGTATAAGGTGATTGTCATTTGTAGTGATGAGGCTCGGGAGTGAAACTCCCTGTATCCCCCTCTCACTCTACCTGATGCCATGAATGTAACTAGTGCACTATTTTGCCTCATTTTAAAAGCTGTGTTTTAGATGGTATTAGGTAGTATTGAGGCACTGGGAGGAGTAACTTATAAAAGTAAAATATTACTCCTATGTTTCAAGATAATGCACAGTTCTGGAATAGGTTGTTGTGAAGATGAAAGGACATTTATGTGGAGCTTAGCTGAAAGTTGTGAGTTCATGGAGGTGACACTGTTTAGTGTTTTCTCCAGTGCCCACTGCAATTGTATAACATTCCAGGACAGAATTTCCTGGGCAAGTGATAGGATCAGGAATGTTTTAAGTCATGCCTATCTTTGCATACCTGGTTTTCAATCCTTTTATTTTTTTGTGTTATCACACCTGTACTTGTTACATTGATATTATAGTTTAATTTTAAAACCTCGTGTGTTTGCCATTTACCTTACTGTGGTCACCACTCAGCCATTTGTGTGTTCACCTTGTGGTCTACTGCAGCCAATAAGAAGAGATAGTATGTTGGTAGGCAGCAACCTCCTATGGAGGTACTACTGTTCTGCCAAGTGAGTGTAAAATGGAAGCCTGTAATTGTTTTACATGATGGTAGGATTGCTGGTGGTTTTTTTTTTTTTGTCTCAAACATGCAAGAATTCTTCCTCCGGAAGCCATGTGTGTCATAAGAGGCGACTGAAATGCCGGGAACAAGGGGCTAGTGACCCCTTCTCCTGTATACGTTACTAAATTTAAAAGAGAAACCATCATTTTTCTTTTTGGGCCACCTTGCTTCGGTGGGATACGGCTGGTTTGTTGAAAGAAGAAGAATCTTTTATTGTTTTATTTTCACTGCTATAAATACCCTGCTATAATACCCTAGCATAACAGCCAAGATAACTGAAGATAACAAGTAACATAACATACAGAATTAAAATTACTACACCTTTCTATGATCACAATTGCAGTTCCACACCTTCTCACACTCAACAGGGTAACAGACAGAATATGGCATAACAATGCTAAGTTTAACAGCAGAATATGTTAAGATACAAAATTATATAAAAGCTGAGAAAAATAAACCAACTACAGTAGAACAAAATATTCTAAAATAGTATGCATTCCCACATCATTCATTTGTCATCATATTCCAACTGCCTGACACAAGGTGCTTTCTACCAAACTACAGCTGCTAAGCCCAAGCAAATCACAGTACGTACCACCATATAAGCATTGCTCATCTGACCCAAGAAAAAAAAGTCAACACCTGAGAACTAAACAAGATTTAGCTGTAAAATGCAAGGAATTGCAGCTGAACAGATCTCACCTTTCTTCCTGTCCATGCCCAGGGGTCAGCTACCTCTCTGCTCCTTGCCTGACCACCAACAATAACTATAACGTAGACGACCATGAGTGAAGTTTTTTTTTTTTTTTTTTTTAAGCAACGGCCATATCCCACCACGGCAGGGTGACCTAAAAAGAAAAGTGAAAGTTTTTCCTTTTATATTTAATTATTTATTCAGAAGGGGTTACTAGCCCCTTGATGAAGAGGGTTATATATAAAAAAATCTCCCCTCAATATGACTTGGCCTACATAATGTTGTCTCCCAGTTCTTCACGAGATGACATAGGATTTGCAGCCAAAGATGCAGTAATGAAAGAGTTTTGCACTGTCATCAACAGCTATCCAAAACTTACAAAATATTAAAAAGAGGGAATAACTTCACAATCTGAGATCAATAACTTAGAATCAAACAACAACAATGAAAATGCTCAAAACTTAAATACTCATAATAAACATGTTGCTAACCTGAGAAATCAATACACTTCTCTCCTAACAGAGCTACACTAAACAACACGAAAGCTTCCAACACATGCAATATTAACAAACAATTTACCAATCTCCAACTTAAATAGATTGATCAAATAAGAACTAAAACAACTAATCACCTCTGTAGTTAAAAATGGTCCACAACTCCCACTAGATAACAACACACAATTGTACTAACACTAAACTGCAAATGATTTAAGATAAGCTTAAGGTAACGATTCACCATGACAAAAATGAAAGCTGCCTTCAAACTAGGCAAACCAAAACTGGTAGTCAAACTAAATTACCTAAATTTCAAGATTAACCCTTTGACTGTTTCAGTCATATATATATGTCTTACGAGCCAATGTGTTTGACATATATATATACTAAAAAATTCTAGCGGCTTCAACTCGAGCAGGAGAAAGCTGGTAGGCCCACATGTGACAGAATGGGTCTGTGTGGTCAGTGTGCGCAGTATTAAAAAAAATCCTGCAGCACGTAGTGCATAAGGAGAAAAAAAAACTCCGACCATGTTTTTGGATTAAAACGCCGACTTTGAGGTGTATTTTCGTATAATATTTATTGTTTTTCTTGGTCTCATTTGATGGAATGGAAAACATATTATAGAAATATAAGTCATTTTGATTGGTTTTACCATGAAAAGGATCTTGAAATGGAGCGCAAAGTGGCAGAAATGTTCAATTTTTGCCGATGCTCAATAGTAAACAAATGATGTCATTGTCCAATAAATGTCCAACTAGCCATTCTAATATGCAGTCACGAATGGGTTGACATTATTTATACAATTATTACAATATTGCAGTAGTCTGCATAACAGTAAATCTTCTATTTTTTGTGTGAATAAAAATTCAACATAGAAAGCAAGAGTATTATAACAGGGGCCTGGAGACGTTGGCCAAATTGCCAATTTCTGACCACTTTATTGGGTAGTTGTACTCAATCGATAGAACAAATGGAGTTCTAAAGAAATAGCTATGAGTTTGGTCTTCCTTCCTCAGTGGGATAAGGCTGGAGCATTGAAAAAATAAAATATGTGAAAGAGAATTATTCAAATTCCTCTCAAGGTATTCAACTTGCTAACTAAAACTCTGTAGTATACATGAATTATGTCATTCTGCCAAGTTAAACTATCCTGAAAAATTCAGTGTGCTGTTTTTATTAAGTCTATCACATACAGTGGACCCTTGACCAACGATATTAATCCATTCCAGAGAGCTTGTCGTTAGTCGAATTAATATTCCCTATAAGAAATAGCAATGGAAATCCAATTAATCTGTTCCAGACACCCAAAAGTATGAAAAAAAAAAAAATTTCACATGAAATATACATTTTCCTACACAGAAAAAGAAGGATACATGCACAATAAATACTGTACTGTACTGAATGAAGAATAAATGACACTTACCTTTATTGAAGATGTAGTGATGAATGATGAGATGGGAGGAGGGGAGATGGAGGTGTATTAATTTGGGAACAACTTGAGAGTCACTGGACCTCTGTCACACCAAAAATGTGTCCAATGAGCTCTTCCAGAACAGGCCTGTTTCGTCACAATTGAACACTTGTTGGGATTGGAATTTTTCAGCTTCGCCATGCCTTATCACACTGTGTATGCCACTACAATTCTTAAATCTCTCAAACCAACCTTTGCTGACCTTAAATTCACCAGGCATTTTTTCATGTTCACCTGGGTGTTAGTCGACTGGTGTGGGTTGCATCCTGGGGGACAAGATTAAGAACCCCAATGGAAATAAGTTAGACTTTCTTGGGTTATCCTGGGTGGCTAACCCTCTGGGGTTGTTTCTTGGTAATTGTTTCTCATTAAGCCACACCAACAACACACACTCCACATCTTCAAGTAGTACAGCTGATGGTGGTGCAGCAGCAACTGACCGTGTTACAGCAGCAACTGACTGTGGTACAATAGCAGCCGCAGTTGACCATGGTACAGCAGCAGCAGCAGCTGACCAGGGTACAGCAGCAGCTGACTGTGGTACGATAGTATTTCTATAGTATTTCTCACCCTTTTTACCACAGGGTTGGCACTAGAAGCTTTCTTTGGGCCCATAGTGGCTTATTTAGTAGTTACAAGCACTAAAAACAACAGAATACTACAAAATGTATTGAATGTATGAGTGAAACCGTCCGCCCTGGCTTGTAAACAATGGCACACTAGCTGACGGCAGGGCAGCTGAGGCGCTCAGGCTGGACGGACAGGTTCGGGTCGAATCATGTTGGTCAAGTTTTTCATCGTTGGTCGGGCCAAAATTTTTATGCTCAAACGCTTCGTTAGTCGAATTTATTGTTAGATGGTGCCTTCGTTGCTCAGGGGTTCACTGTACATTCATTTCTTTGTACTGTTCATTCTTAGTCATACATTGCCCACATTAATTTGTGCACACAGTACACACTGATACTAATCCAGAATGTCATCCATTATCTACTGTAAACAGCAGTTAACACCATGATCAAAACATTGGTATCACACAATTTTTTTTTACCACATCAGCAGTTACCCACAATGGCAGTGCGACCCAAAGAAGAAAACATTCATTGTCACTCATACAATACCGAGACTCCTGTGTATATCAATACAAACAAAACAAACAAGCTTAATTTCTTTTTGCAGTATACAAAATGCAGTTTACATGCAATAAAATACCATTAAGCATAAAAGAAAGTCACTAGCATGCTGTGCATAGGGATCAACAGCAGCAAACTATGTAACTCAAACTAATTATCACATAACAAAAGGCAACAATAAGATCATATTCAGACTTAAAACAGCACACAATATAAGTGTTCCAATCTTCAAATGTACTAAATATATGTGTAACATAAACATTCTGCTTTTCTCTCTATTTTTAGGAGTGACATACAATGGTGAGCCTGGAGAGCTATATCAACACACATTGGTATTACATTAGACACAACACTGTACCTCTTTGATATTCATCCTCAGTTAAGGCTGTATAGATGTGGAATAGTGTCCCAGAAGATACTAAAAACTACACAATACTAAACAAGCTTAAAATAAATATCAAGGAACACTGAGCAAAATTTAAGCTTACAACCTATCTCCGAAGGAAGGGCGAGGATATTTGCAGTTCTGAACTGTAGTGTCAGCCTGCCTCTGGCAAGACAGTGATGGAGTGAGTGATGATGAAAGTGTTTCTTCTTTTTTGGGTCACCCTGCCTTGGTGGGAAACAGCCGTTATGTTAAAAAAATAGAAAAAATTCTCTGCAATATGTATCCACTCACAACTATGTACATTACAGTATACGTAATTTGACTTCAGCCAATGTTTCATTATTAATATAAAAGTTTTATGACTCTCTCAATACAACACTAAAATTAAAATGCAATCTTTAAATACTATATAAAATAGTGTTTATTGTTCAATTCTGCCTGAAAACTGAATAATAACTCTTCTAGTCTGCTTCTCTTATTTTTTCAAAGGAAGCTTCACGCTGATTTTGTGTTGTGAAAGTTTTAATTTGCCAATTTTTTTAAACAAAATGATTTCAGTGCAATAATTAGAGAATGCCTCTTTTGACTGACCTCACACCTTAAACACTGGTTTTGACAAATCTTACCTAACCTCTTCTATTGATTGGGTTTAAACTTTCTAAGTGGCATATCTTACTTACTGGCAAGTTTGAATTAATTTTAGGCTATGTAAGTGCCAATCTGCCATTTTTATTGAAGAAAATGCAACATGTTCCTTGCTATAAACCTGTGAATGCCTCTTCTTATTGTCTTCAAATGTTCAACTCTGATACTTAAATACACTGGAAACTTACGCTGCACTCTATTATTTTTTATTGCAAATTTGAAGGTGGAGCTGGCTGTGCCTATGGGATACAGGAAAAATCTTCTTGGATCATGCAGTAACTGAAAGACATCTACTGGGAGTTCAATAACTGTTATTGTCATTCTTTGTAAATAAAATTCTAATTCTAGACAGCACTCACAATCTAAAGGGTAAACTTCATAGGAAAAAGTTAAATGACAAAAATGGTTAAATGTATTACTGTACTTTTGTAGTGGATTCATAGAGATGTTCTTAATCTGGTGTAAATTATTATATAGAGGTATTGGGAAGATGGAGGGAATATTTTGAGGAATTGTTAAATGTTGATGAAGATAGGGAAGCTGTGATTTCATGTATAGGGCAAGGAGGAATAACATCTTGTAGGAGTGAGGAAGAGTCAGTTGTGAGTGTGGTGGAAGTTCTTGAGGCAGTAGGTAAAATGAAAGGGGGTAAGGCAGCCAGGATTGATGGGATAAAGATAGAAATGTTAAAAGCAGGTGGGGATATAGTTTTGGAGTGGTTGGTGCAATTATTTAATAAATGTATGGAAGAGGGTAAGGTACCTAGAGATTGGCAGAGAGCGTGCATAGTTCCTTTGTATAAAGGCAAAGGGGACAAAAGAGTGTGCAAAAATTATAGGGGGATAAGTCTGTTGAGTATACCTGGTAAAGTGTATGGTAGAGTTATTATTGAAAGAATTAAGAGTAAGACGGAGAATAGGATAGCAGATGAACAAGGAGGCTTTAGGAAAGGTAGGGGGTGTGTAGACCAGGTGTTTACAGTGAAACATACAAGTGAACAGTATTTAGATAAGGCTAAAGAGGTTTTTGTGGCATTTATGGATTTGGAAAAGGCATATGACAGGGTGGATAGGGGGGCAATGTGGCAGATGTTGCAGGTGTATGGTACAGGAGGTAGGTTACTGAGCACCTCTACAAAAACAGTGATTATGTGTGAGTGAGGTGAAAGTGTTGAATGATGATGAAAGTATTTTCTTTTTGGGGATTTTCTTTCTTTTTGGGTCACCCTGCTTCGGTGGGAGATGGCCGACTTATTAAAAAAGAAAAAAATGCATGGAATATGTGTGTGGAATAGGTAATAAGTGACTAAATGCTGTAAAGAGTCTTTATGAGGATAGTGAGATTCAGGTTAGGTCTTAGACAGGGATGTGTTATGTCACCATGATTGTTTAACATATTTATAGATGGGGTTGTAAAAGAAGTAAGTGCTAGGGTGTTGGGAGAGGTGGGATTAAATTATGGGGAATTAAATACTTTTTGCTGATGATGCTCTGCTTTTGGGGGATTCTAAAGAAAAGTTGCAAAGATTAGTGGACAAGTTTGGGAGGGAGTGTAAAGGTAGAAAGTTGAAAGTGAATATAGCTAAGAATAAGGTGATGAGAGTATCAAATGATTTAGATAAAGAAAAATTGAATACCACATTGGAGGGAGGGAGTATGGAAGAAGTGAATGTTTTTAGATATTTGGGAGTTGACTGACTAGTGGATAGGTTTATGAAGGATGAGGTAACTCACAGAACTGATGAAGGAAAAGAGGTGAGTGGTGCACTGAGATATCTGTGGAGACAAAGAAAGTTATCCACGGAGACAAAGAAGGGAATGTAAGAGAGTATAGTGGTACCAACACTCTTATATGGGTGTGAAGCATGGGTTGTAAGGGCTGCAGCGAGGAGGCGGCTGGGGGCAGTGGAGATGTCGTCCCTAAGGGCAATGTGTAGTGTAAATATTATGCAGAGAATTCGTAGTGTGGAAATTAGGTGTTGAGTTACTGAACGTATTAGTCAGAGGGCTGAAGAGGGGCTGTTGAGGTGGTCTGGTCATTTAGAGAGAATGGAACAAAGTAGAATGACTTGGAGAGCATATAAATTTATTGGGGAACGAAGGCAGGGTAGGGGTCCTCCCCAAAAAGGTTGAAGGGAGGGGGTAAAGGAGGTTTTGTGGACAAGGATCTTGGACTTTCAGCAAGTGTGCATGAGCGTGTTAGACAGGAGTGAATAGAGACAAATGCTTTTGGAAACTGATGAGCTATTGGAGTGTGAGCAGGGTAATATTTTGTGAAGGGATTCAGGGAAAATGGTTAGACAGACTTGAGTCCTAGAAATGGAAAGTACAATGCCTGCCCTCTAAAGGAGGAGTTTAGGATATTGGCAGTTTGGAGGGACGTCTAAACTGTTGCATCTGAGCGCCTCTGCAAAGACAGTGATTTATACAATATATGAGCGATGGTGAAAGTGTTAAAGATGAAAGTTTTTTCTTTCTTTTTGGGTCACCCTGCCTCGGTGGGAAACGGCCAACATTAAAAAAAAAAAAAAACACTTCAGCCATCTTCCACCAAGGCAGGGTGACCCAAAAAAAAAAAAATTCTTTTTACATTTAGTAATTTATACAGGAGAAGGGGTTACTAGCCCCTTGCTCCTGGCATTTTAGTTGCCTCTTATGACACGCATGACTTATGGAGGAAAATTTCTTTTTCACTTACCCATGGAAATGAAAATAAATAAATAAGAACAGGAACTATTAGGAAAATAGAAAAAAATTCAGGTGGGTGTGTATACATAAACGCGTACAATTATATGTAGTGTGACCTACTGACCTTAGTGTAAGTAGGAGGGGTGGAGATATGTTGCAGTTTTCTAACCGTAGTATCAGTGCCTCTGGCAAGACAGTGATGGAGTGAGTGATGATGGAAGTTTCTTCTTTTTCAGGTCACCATGCCTTTGTGGAAAATTGCCGATTAAAAAAAAAAAAAATTATAGATAGTGCTAGAGGTAAATGCATTACCCCTACTTCAGTCAGAGAAAGCCAGTGTGTTAAAAATAAAAGCGAAATGCTGGATCCCAATCAGTCATTCAGCTCATTCAGTAGTGGAAACTCAATACTCCATCTGCCACAATAACTGTGAAACAGACATACTACTTAGCTGCACTCATGTACTTCAAACTGATACAAAGCATATGAGTTCATATTGCCTTACAAATGCTGTGTATTGATAATTTTAATTTGCCCTTCAACAACAAACATGTTAAATAGTGTTGTTTCCATCTTGCCATGGACACAATTTTAGGCTCTATTTGAAAAACGTGTGACGAATTTTAAGTGGTACACAATATTTCCAAAGCAAAAGAAATTACTGCACTTTAATAACACATGGCAGTGTATGGAAGTATATCTCAGTAGTATAATATCATCAGACAACTACTGGCAGGAATTAAGTGATTCACTAGTCATTCACAGTGATAAGGCAGTAAGTCAACTTGGACGGAAAAGTACAGGCTTGATCAGGAGCCCTTCAATGAGTTGAAGTCTATCACAAAGTAAACAGGAGCTGAAAAAACAGCTAGTATGTACTGTATGCTGAATACATTTTCCCTTTGCTACACTGAACACCAGACAATTCTCAGCACTAAACACTAACACTTAAACACACACTTCTACCCCTTTCTTTACAATGCAACTTTTCTCATGAACTTCCCTATTTCACACTGCTACATTCATAGTCATCCTCTCCATTTGTAGTTTTACAATGTGAAAGAAAAAGATATACTATACTCTGTGAAACAATGTTCTTTACTGCACAATCTTAAAAATAATATAATGCAATTACCAACTTAACTCAAAACACTATTTTCAGATAAAATTACTATTAATAGAAATAAAGCATTCTCTATTTAAATCTGTCAAACATGCAGGAGAAAAAGCAAGCTAAAATGCAGAAAGCAAAAAAACATTCTTATGTCTATGAAAAAGTAAACCATATAACAGCTAAGCACATTATCATTACAGTAAACCCTTGATCTAACGGACTAACAGATGGGATCAGGTGGCTGGTAATGATAATCGTGATGGATAGAGATGAGACTGTTTTGCTGTGACTGTAACACTGACACATTTGTAATGAACAGACTTCAATTATCATTTCCAAATCAAATGACCCAACAGATTTTCTCCCATATTTCTCAAGTCTGTTAAATCAAGGTCCCTTAAGTCAAGGATTTATTGTATAGTCATGGAAAATGTGAAATACATAAGGATCATACAATGATGCCTGGTGGTTGGTAAGGAGATGGAGGGGTGGGAAGAGAAGTAGAGGTGCTGAGGAAAGAACATCAGCTGAGAAGATGAAGGCTACAGTTAATGAAGCAAACTGGTGTCAGTTAGGAAAGCACAGTGTATCTGAAACAAAAGTGAGACCATTAAAGAGGGTGGACAAAGTAGGTACATCCAGCATTACAGAAAATGTCTGAAATGAAGCCAGAATGACAGTTATCTACAGTAAACCAAATAATTAATTTCCCACTGTCTACCAGGATTCTTGCAGGTTTCTTTATATCATACCACCTTCACATAACTCTTAAGGCACTACACAAAGTTCAGTCTCTTCTAAGCAATTTACATTTTTCTTCCATTTTCACTTTTGGCCACCTATCTTCTCATCTCTTTCATTCATTGGTAGCAGATACTGTGAGCTAATGTCATTGGAATGAAAGAGATATACACTTACTGAGCTCCACAGTTTAAGTGACAAACTAACTAGATATACTTTTTTCTTCCATTATATTTTCATACCTCGTATTTCATAGATAGTAGCATAAGCAATAATGAAATACAATCCTTCAATAGTACCATTCATTATTGCAATTTAACAGTTTCAGGTATCATGGAAAGAGTATAAATCATCCACAACAACATTTTCAATGGAATATGATGTATACAAAACAAATTTTCTAATCTTTCTTTTCTAATGCTCTCTTAAGTCTCTCAGTTCGTTTATCTGTCGGCCGGTTGTACAAGATGCCAGCTAGGATGGTGAGGTGACAACAGTGGAGCAAGGCCGAGCTCCACCATGTAGATGGGTAAGTGTTCCAGCACAACTCAATAACTCCAAGCACCAACACTCTGTAACAAAATATAATTAATAATAAGCACAACTGCACACACAAACAAACACAGAATAACAAAACATATACAAAGAGAGGTGCTGATATGTTGCAGTTTTATAACTGTAGAGTAGGAGTGCCTCTGGCAAGACAGTGATGGAGTGAATGATGATGAAAGTGTTTCTTCTTTCTTTGAGTCACCCTGCCTTGGTGGGAAATGGCCGATGTGTTAATAAAAAAATACATTTATTCCCAGTAACCTGATTATTTTTAACACATCAACTATCTCCCACTGAGGCAAGGTGACCCAAAAATGAAGAAACGAAAGTTTTTCTTCTTTTCATACATAGTACGTAATTTATACAGGAGAAGGGGTTACTAGTCCCTTGCTCCTGGCATTTAAGTCGCCTCTTACGACACGCATGGCTTATGGAAGAAGGATTCTTCTCCACTTCCCCATGGATAATTATTAGTTTTGTATTACAGGTATTCCTCACTTAACAACCGAGCTCCGTTCCTAAGTGTAGGTCAGCAAGCTAAATGGTCGTTAAGCAAGGAGCCGCCACTTACTGATATTTCAAGCATACTGTACTGGTAGTAGGTTTGTGTCAACCATCGTTAGATATTGTTTTAATGTCACCTTTGCACCATTTATAACATTTTAATATATTAAAAACAAAACTAGGCATTAAAAACCAATAAAAAAGTAAAATACACATACGGTACACTGGTCAGAGATCTCGTCGTAAGTCTGAGTGGTTGTTAAACAGGTAGGTTGTAAGTGAGGAGTACCTGTATATTATAAAACCTGTATATTATAGGTAGTAGGTTGGTAGACAGCAACCACCCAGGGAAGTACTACCGTCCTGCCAGATGTCTGTGAAACAGAAACCTGTAACTGTTTTGCATGATGGTAGGATTGCTGGTTTCTTTTTCTGTCTCATAAACACGCTAGATAACAGGGATATCTTGCTACTCCTACTTACACTTTGGTCACACTTCACAGACATGCACATGCATATATATATACATACATCTAGGTTTTTCCCCTTTTTCTAAATAGCTCTTGTTCTTCTTTATTTCTTCTATTGTCCATGGGGAAGTGGAAAAGAATCTTTCCTCCGTAAGCCATGCGTGTCGTATGAGGCGACTAAAATGCCGGGAGCAATGGGCTAGTAACCCCTTCTCCTGTAGACATTTACTAATAAAGAGAAGAAGAAAAACTTTATAAAACTGGGATGCTTGAATGTGCGTGGATGTAGTGCAGATGACAAGAAACAGATGATTGCTGATGTTATGAATGAAAAGAAGTTGGATGTCCTGGCCCTAAGCGAAACAAAGCTGAAGGGGGTAGGGGAGTTTCGGTGGGGGGAAATAAATGGGATTAAATCTGGAGTATCTGAGAGAGTTAGAGCAAAGGAAGGGGTAGCAGTAATGTTGAAGGATCAGTTATGGAAGGAGAAAAGAGAATATGAATGTGTAAATTCAAGAATTATGTGGATTAAAGTAAAGGTTGGATGTGAAAAGTGGGTCATAATAAGCGTGTATGCACCTGGAGAAGAGAGGAATGTAGAGGAGAGAGAGAGATTTTGGGAGATGTTAAGTGAATGTATAGGAGCCTTTGAACCAAGTGAGAGAGTAATTGTGTTAGGGGATCTGAATGCTAAAGTAGGAGAAACTTTTAGAGAGGGTGTGGTAGGTAAGTTTGGGGTGCCAGGTGTAAATGATAATGGGAGCCCTTTGATTGAACTTTGTATAGAAAGGGGTTTAGTTATAGGTAATACATATTTTAAGAAAAAGAGGATAAATAAGTATACAAGATATGATGTAGGGCGAAATGACAGTAGTTTGTTGGATTATGTATTGGTAGATAAAAGACTGTTGAGTAGACTTCAGGATGTACATGTTTACAGAGGGGCCACAGATATATCAGATCACTTTCTAGTTGTAGCTACACTGAGAGTAAAAGGTAAATGGGGTACAAGGAGAATAGAAGCATCAGGGAAGAGAGAGGTGAAGGTTTATAAACTAAAAGAGGAGGCAGTTAGGGTAAGATATAAACAGCTATTGGAGGATAGATGGGCTAATGAGAGCATAGGCAATGGGGTCGAAGAGGTATGGGGTAGGTTTAAAAATGTAGTGTTAGAGTGTTCAGCAAAAGTTTGTGGTTACAGGAAAGTGGGTGCGGGAGGGAAGAGGAGCGATTGGTGGAATGATGATGTAAAGAGAGCAGTAAGGGAGAAAAAGTTAGCATATGAGAAGTTTTTACAAAGTAGAAGTGATGCAAGGAGGGAAGAGTATATGGAGAAAAAGAGAGAGGTTAAGAGAGTGGTGAAGCAATGTAAAAAGAGAGCAAATGAGAGAGTGGGTGAGATGTTATCAACAAATTTTGTTGAAAATAAGAAAAAATTTTGGAGTGAGATTAACAAGTTAAGGAAGCCTAGAGAACAAATGGATTTGTCAGTTAAAAATAGAAGAGGAGAGTTATTAAATGGAGAGTTAGAGGTATTGGGAAGATGGAGGAAATATTTTGAGGAATTGTTAAATGTTGATGAAGAGAGGGAAGCTGTGATTTCGTGTATAGGGCAAGGAGGAACAACATCTTGTAGGAGTGAGGAAGAGCCAGTTGTGAGTGTGGGAGAAGTTCGTGAGGCAGTAGGTAAAATGAAAGGGGGTAAGGCAGCCGGGATTGATGGGATAAAGATAGAAATGTTAAAAGCAGGTGGGGATATAGTTTTGGAGTGGTTGGTGCAATTATTTAATAAATGTATAGAAGAGGGTAAGGTACCTAGGGATTGGCAGAGAGCATGCATAGTTCCTTTGTATAAAGGCAAAGGGGACAAAAGAGAGTGCAAAAATTATAGGGGGATAAGTCTGTTGAGTATACCTGGTAAAGTGTATGGTAGAGTTATTATTGAAAGAATTAAGAGTAAGATGGAGAATAGGATAGCAGATGAACAAGGAGGCTTTAGGAAAGGTAGGGGATGTGTGGACCAGGTGTTTACAGTGAAACATATAAGTGAACAGTATTTAGATAAGGCTAAAGAGGTCTTTGTGGCATTTATGGATTTGGAAAAGGCATATGACAGGGTGGATAGGGGGCAATGTGGCAGATGTTGCAGGTGTATGGTGTAGGAGGTAGGTTACTGAAAGCAGTGAAGAGTTTTTATGAGGATAGTGAGGCTCAAGTTAGAGTATGTAGGAAAGAGGGAAATTATTTCCCAGTAATAGTAGGCCTTAGACAAGGATGTGTGATGTCACCATGGTTGTTTAATATATTTATAGATGGGGTTGTAAGAGAAGTAAATGCGAGGGTCTTGGCAAAAGGCATGGAGTTAAAAGATAAAGAATCACACAAAGTGGGAGTTGTCACAGTTGCTCTTTGCTGATGACACCGTGCTCTTGGGAGATTCTGAAGAGAAGTTGCAGAGATTGGTGGATGAATTTGGTAGGGTGTGCAAAAGAAGAAAATTAAAAGTGAATACAGGAAAGAGTAAGGTTATGAGGATAACAAAAAGATTAGGTGATGAAAGATTCGATATCAGATTGGAGGGAGAGAGTATGGAGGAGGTGAATGTATTCAGATATTTGGGAGTGGACGTGTCAGCAGATGGGTCTATGAAAGATGAGGTGAATCATAGAATTGATGAGGGGAAAAGGGTGAGTGGTGCACTTAAGAGTCTGTGGAGACAAAGAACTTTGTCCTTGGAGGCAAAGAGGGGAATGTATGAGAGTACAGTTTTACCAACGCTCTTATATGGGTGTGAAGCATGGGTGATGAATGTTGCAGCGAGGAGAAGGCTGGAGGCAGTGGAGATGTCATGTCTGAGGGCAATGTGTGGTGTGAATATAATGCAGAGAATTCATAGTTTGGAAGTTAGGAGGAGGTGCGGGATTACCAAAACTGTTGTCCAGAGGGCTGAGGAAGGGTTGTTGAGGTGGTTCGGACATGTAGAGAGAATGGAGCGAAACAGAGTGACTTCAAGAGTGTATCAGTCTGTAGTGGAAGGAAGGCGGGGTAGGGGTCGGCCTAGGAAAGGTTGGAGGAGGGGGTAAAGGAGGTTTTGTGTGCGAGGGGCTTGGACTTCCAGCAGGCATGCGTGAGCGTGTTTGATAGGAGTGAATGGAGACAAATGGTTTTTAATACTTGACGTGCTGTTGGAGTGTGAGCAAAGTAACATTTATGAAGGGGTTCAGGGAAACCGGCAGGCTGGACTTGAGTCCTGGAGATGGGAAGTACAGTGCCTGCACTCTGAAGGAGGGGTGTTAATGTTGCAGTTTAAAAACTGTAGTGTAAAGCACCCTTCTGGCAAGACAGTGATGGAGTGAATGATGGTGAAAGTTTTTCTTTTTCGGGCCACCCTGCCTTGGTGGGAATCGGCCAGTGTGATAATAATAAAAAAAGCAAACCCATATGGGTCATTCAGCCCTACTCTCCTAATAAGGATGCCTTCTTCTACCCTCAACTTTATGGTTATTCTATGGTGAATCAAGAAGACTCACTATAAATGAATACATACCTAATAACCATTCACACAGCATGAAATAGCAAAACAAAATCTTCACATGACTGAACCTTTCAAAATCATTGACTAAACTTACAAAACTAATTCATCAATAACATTACCTTACACAAAGTTTATAAATAACTAACCTGAACATGAGAGAGAAGCGTGTAGACCACAGCATATAGGGCAGGGTGTGGAAGTACCATATATAAAACTGGTAGTGAAGAGAACGACTTGCTGCCATCCCTATCAAGTTGCTGACAAACATGGGCAATATGAAGAGTTGACACCCCATGTCTGCATCTATGCCAATGCTTTGGATAGTGGCAAAGTTTGCTAAGTACCTAAGACACCATACAGCAATAAATAAATGAAAGATAAATTTGTTACATAACAATACAATACAAATTCTACTAAAATACTGTACCAACTCCTTGAAACATTGATAAATGTATTATAAACCTCAAAATGTTGTGAATTTAATGCAAAAGAAAAATATATAAAATATTTATTATTATATTGAAAAATAAATTTAATTTTAAAAAACTGATTTAAAAAATTAATTAATATTTTATTTATTTTATTTAATTTTATTAAATATAACCAATACAAAAAATTTTTTAAACCCCTTGATTTAAAAATTCACTAGTATGAGTTTCAAAATACTAAAATAGAGGGCCTCATTTTAAACCCATATTTGTTTATTTTAAGTAAATTAAAATGCAACAAAACAAAATTTGCATTTTGAAAAAAATTTAAAAAAGGTAAATTTTAAAAAAATTAAAATTATTTTCCTACCTATTCCAATGAGTCATGGCAAAGATGATGAGCAGGGCCACATGTATCAGCAACAGCAGTGCATGGAACCAAGGATTTACAAATATTTCCTCGGGTAAGAACCTCCAGTTGACAGTCCATTCAAAAAGGAAAACGCGCCCAATGTCAAAAGACATTTTTATGTACCCTACTGGGTTCGCAAGGAGGAATGGTGCACCTAATGCCAGCTGTGGAAAAAATAAATCGCCAAAATATAATAATTAATACCAAATGCAGATGACCCCCATTTAACAAATACTCACAGAACGTAATTTTGAATAATGACTGAAAAAAACCTCGGAGCCCCTCCCTTTTCCTCTTAGCAATCATTTCCAACTTCATACAATGACCTTATGCCAAGCAGCCATCATGAACACACAGTGTGCATGCATGCCATATGCTATCATAGTGGTCTATTTGCTTTACAGCAATTATTACTGTTTCTACTTGAAAGAATTCATGATAAAATGTGTAGACTGAACCAGCCTATGCACTTCATTGTTCATCCAAACTAGCTGAAAGCACTCAGTACCTTTTACCCTAGCTAACATGAGCACTATAAGACTAGCAAGTGGTAAAGATGGCAGTGGTGCTAAGGCCAAGAGAAAGAATGTTATTCCACATACCAGAGTGAACATTTCTGGGCATGTTGATGCTGGAGAGAAGGCATGTGATATTACAAGACATCTTGGCCTGGCTAAATCAATGGTATACACCCTCACTTTCTGCCAGTTGCAGGAAGTGATGGCCATGCAAATCTGTGTAGTTTTTGATGTAGATAATTTTGTCATAAATAACAGTACTGCATCATTTCATTAACTGTATTGTATATAACGGTGTTCATAGGCTGCAGGAAAGCCTAGCCTCAGCCCTAATTTTGGGACAAGAACAGCTAATAAAATCAGAAGTGCAAGTAGTCTAAAGATATTCTTGGATGCCTGGTATACCAAGCAAATGAAGTACTACTATACTCTAAAGGCAATAATACAAAAATACTTATACAGTGGACCCCCGGTTAACGAACTTTTTTCATTCCAGTAGTATGTTCAGGTGCCAGTACTGACCGAATTTTTTCCCATAAGGAATATTGTGAAGTAGATTAGTCCATTTCAGACCCCCAAACATACACGTACAAACGCACTTACATAAATACACTTACATAATTGGTCGCATTTGGAGGTGATCGTTAAGCGGGGGTCCACTGTATAAGGATGATTAGTAAACAAAGACACATTTCCACATTGGAAAGAGATGTCTTATGGCCGACAAAATAACCGAAATAAACACAAATGTAGAACGAAACTTTTATTGAGACCACTCTGCCTGTTCTGCCTATGTCTTTCAATCACATTTTTACATTACACAAATTCACAAAAAAAAGGATAAAAATTAAATATATATTACAATTGTATACAAAGCTGATTTGTTTATATTGCAGATCAAATGACAGTTGTCTTAACCCCTAAACTGTCCACACGTAGATATACATTCATGTGTGGCAGGCTCCGAACGTAGATCAATGTTTTATTTTTCATTCCTTCAAAATTGGCACGATAGGTCTGAGTCGCCTAGACATGAGAGAATGGATGTGCACACTGAAAAAAATCAGGGATGCTGGGATACCACGTGGTAACACCAGTTAGTTTCAGCTCCATCTTGGGTCAATATCATGGCAAACCCTTGTGATTCACTGACGCCTCGGCGCATTAACACTCTACTATTCCCAGAAAGTGATACAGAACGTGAGTTTAGTGGTTTTGACTCCGATATAGCCACTAAAGATCAAGGAATTAGTGAAACTTTTGTTGTTGGCCAGTGTGGCCAATGTGGCCACAAACAGACCCTCAGCCCAGCACCTCTGGGGTTGCTAGTGTTACTTCCCAAAGGCAACTCCGCAAGAGGAAATTATCATTTTCCATGCGTTATGGTGATGACGATAGTGAAAGTGATACATGTATAAATGACGATGATGAAATCGATTTTATGCCAACAGATGATTCGTCGAGTGAAAGTGATTATCATTTTTTCCCAGTGAAACGTACTTTCAGGCGTTGTAACCTACATTCATGCAGTGTGCCATATGTAGTAGGTGGGAAGGGTCGTGGCAGGTCACGATCCGAAACCCCAGCCACTGATAGTGTTAGTGATAATGAAGGTGAATATGCTGGGATGGAGGAAGAGGGGGGGGTGGCATGGTGCCGGGACCTCGTGGCGCAGTGGGTGGGCAGACAAAGGACCGCCCAGCACCTTCTCAACCATGTGCTGCCTCCACTCCTGTCCCCCCTCCTCCTTCTCCATGCCCTATGCCACAGGCCCACCCTGCACCATGTGACCGTGAATGGAACTGGACAGAAAGTACACCATTTGTGCCACATCCTTTCAATTTTGATGCCAGTGGAAGCGGCATCATGCCACACTGTCCCATCACAAATGGGTCTACAGAGTTAGACTATTTTCAACTATACTGTGATGAGCCGATAATGAACCTAATTGTTACCCAGACCAACATGTACTACCAGTATACAATGGACCACACAGATGTTTCAGTCTTCATGGCTGCACAGGTGGAAAAATACAACTGTGGCTGAAATGTATTTATTCCTTGGCACTGTCATGCCTATGCCACACACCTATAAGAACAATATAGCACACTACTGGTCCACAGACCACTTCATCAGTACTCCAGTCTTCCGTGACCTCCTTCCTTGCAACAGATTCACTCTGTTGCTATGAATGTTACACTTCTCAGACAGGAATATGCCAAACAGAAATGACCTCTTATATAAAATCTGGGAATTGTTTATGTATCCGAGGCAAAATTCAGTGCCTACTTTTATCCATTCAAGAACATTGTTGTTGACGAGACCTTAGTTCTGTTCAAGGGACGAGTGTCATTCAAATAATATGTACCAAGCAAACGTAATTGCTTTGGTATAAAACTCTTTGTTATGTGTGACTGAGACTGGTCTTGTGTTGGATGTCATTATCTACACAGGGAAAAATACACTCAGCAATACCAGGCGCATGTTGGGCATTTCTGGGTATGGTGTTTGCAAGATGATGCAGCCATACCTTGGCAAAGGTCATACCTTGTTCACAGACAACTGGTATACAAGCCCTATGCTCGCAGATTTTCCTATATACGTGGAACAGTGAGAAGTAGAAAACACATGCCAAGGTTCACTGGAGGAAGTCTAGTGCAAGTATTTCATGCCAATGACATCATGGCACTGACGTGGCATGGCAAACGGGACGTGACATTGCTGTCAACTATCCACAGAAACGAGATGGTACAAACAAACAGACTGAGCAGGTTCAACAATGAACCTTTTGCAAAGCCAGCTGCTGTCATCAACTATACAAACAATATGCAACTAGTCAACAAGTGTGACATGATGATAGGGTTTGTTGACTGTGTGCGTAGGAGTCACAAGTGGCATATAAAAGTTTTTTTCCCCCTTGTAGACATTGCAATGCTCAATGCCTTCAACATGTATGAAATAAAGCCTGGGAAGTGACAATGATATGCAGAATTCACCTTCAATATCAAGCAGATAGCGAAAAAGTATGGTACCACACCTATACCTGTCACTCCACAGTGACCTGTCACTCCACAAGAAGAGGGGGAAGTGCCCAACCGAATAATCCCTAACTGTCACTGCCTGGTACCATTACCATCTACTCCAAAGAAGAAATACTCTCAGAAAAAGTGTGTTGTGTGTGCTTACACTAAACAGCGACCCCCGAGTGCGAAAAGACACACGGTACATGTGTCAGCAATGTGGGGTGGCACTCTGTATGAATCCATGCTTCTTGGAGTACCATACAGTGGTGGACTTCTAGAAACATAAATGGGACTTGTAAATACCTTGTATATATATGTAAACAATAGTATGTGATTGAACCAGGTGTACAAATACATTTATCAGTGTGAATGTGTGTGTTTGTGACAGTATGATCACTAATTCAGTACCAAACATTTGTGTCTCAACAAGAATTGGCTATGAAATCAAAAGATCTGCAACAAAACATTATCATCATAACATGAAAACAACAAAAAATAGAAAAGAATTTGAAAAAAATAATAAATATTTATTATTTCTGCAAGCGACAGTGCTCCATCTTGCCAACACCTCATTATTTAACACCAACTTTGCGAGCTTATATCTCGGTAAGTACTGACTCTAAAAAAAATTTTTTTATCCTATACCATTCATAAAAATGCGCTCTTCAATTTAAAAACAAAAAACAATTTTTTATTTTTCAAAATATTCAAAGCGCTGCACAGGCGAATGTATATCTACGTTTGGACAGTTTAAGGGTTAAATAGAGAACAAATAATTTTGCATATTTCTGAACAAAATGGTAAACTTCATTTCGTAAGCACAAATGCTAATTCAACAAACATTCCTGAAGCTTAGGCATAAATTCTAAGAGTTCAAAAGTTGCAACAAAACTGTCTCAGGGCTTACCTGAACTGCTGCACATATGACAAGTTGCTTGAGTGTACCCATTAAGCCAAGGCAGTGGACGTAAGCCAACAGCAAAGCTGGAGCAAAGAGCAGGATGTTCATCTTAATGGACACTGCTAGACTGCAATAACAATTTAATGATTAATAATTTGGGATTTTATAAAGTCTAGAGCACCTGTTCTCTCGAGAAATTCATAAGCGCTCACACATCAAACCACAAATACAACAACTATGATGAAAGGAATAACCAAGTTCATGTTCAAGAGAAATAGTATGATCACAATAATGAACATAATAGCATCATAAGTCTATTATTAATAATCTGAAAATGCTGCAGGCGATGAACTTGTATAGAGGTGAATGTGGAATGAACACTGAGTGTTCTAAGCATATCTGCCTACAGATCAACTTAATGACTGCTTGTTTCAGTACTCAGAAATGGGAGATAAATGCTGAAAATTCTCTAATAAGAAAGAACCTCTACCGTCCTGCCCAGTGAATGTGAAACAGAAACTTGTAATTGTTTTACATGATGGTAGGATTGCTGGTGTCTTTTTTCTGTCTCATTAACATCCGAGTGGGGATCTGTAACAAGTGGCGTTCCACAGGGATCAGTCTTGGGCCCATTGTTGTTTATAATATATATCAATGATCTTGATGAGGGAATTACTAGTGATATGAGTAAATTCGCCGATGACACAAAGATAGGTAGGATGTTATGGAACTTCAGGAGGATTTAAACAAACTATATTCTTGGTCAGAAAAGTGGCAGATGCAGTTCAATGTAGATAAATGCAAGGTTCTGAAGCTTGGGAGTGCCCATAACCCTAGTACTTATAAGTTAAATGATGTAGAACTTAGCCATACAGATTGCAAAAAGGACTTGGGGGTTATGGTGAGCAGCAACCTTAAACCAAGACAGCAATGCCTAAGCGTACGTAATAAGGCAAATAGATTACTGGGATTTATATCAAGAAGTGTAAGCAACAGAAGTCCAGAGGTCATACTGCAGCTTTATACATCTTTAGAAAGGGCCCCTCACCTAGATTATGCAGCTCAGTTCTGGTCTCCATATTACAGAATGGACATAAATTCGTTAGAAAACATTCAGCGTAGGATGACTAAATTAATACATAGCACTAGAAATCTTCCTTATGAAGAAAGATTGAAGACTCTTAAGTTATCATTCACTTGTTTAGACGAAGAATGAGGGGAGACCTGATCGAAGTGTATAAGTGGAAGATAGGTATTTAAAAAAGGGGATATTAATAAGGTCTTGAGGATGTCTCTCCAAGAGAGAACCCACAGTAATGGATTTAAATTAGATAAGTTTAGATTTAGAAAGGACATAGGAAAGTATTGGTTTGGAAACAGGGTAGTTGATGAGTGGAACAGTCTACCTAGTTGGGTTATTGAGGCTGGGACTTTGGGTAGTTTCAAATTTAGGTTGGATAAGTACATGAGTGGGAGGGGTTGGATTTGAGTGAGACTTTCACATCAGAACTTATTTCTTGGGTGGCATTGAAAATTGGGTTGGGCAAATGTTTTGTTAGTGGGATGAATTGTAAAGGACCTGCCTAGTATGGGCCAACAGGCCTTCTGCAGTGTTCCTCCTTTCTTATGTTCTTATGTTTATGTTCTTAAGATAACAGGTACATGTATAACTTGCTACTTCTATTTACATTTAGGTCACACTACACATGCATGTACATGCATATGTGAACATTAAAATGGTATCTTACCTAACAACATGCATATGTATACAAACCCATCTGAGTTTACTTCTATTTTCTTAACAGTTCTTGTTCTTCCTCATTTCCTTCTATATCCATGGGGAAGCGGAAATAATTTTTCCTCCATAAGCCATGCGTGCCATAAGAAACAACTAAAATGCCAGGATCAAGGGGCTAGTAATCCCTTCTCCTGTATAAATTACCTTTTTAGGTCACCTGCCTCAGTGGTGACTGCCCATTTTCCTTTAGGTGACAGAGGTTGCATATTGTATTTGTATGTTGTATTTGTATATTGTATCTGTATGTTGCATTTGTATGTACTAAAGACTGAAAGGAAGCATCTGACTGAATATACTGGAGCTGTCTCTATGAATATACCGGAGTTGTCTCTCTGAATCGGTGCAACTGTATTTCTGAATGTACTGCAGCTATATCTCTCTCAATTTACTTCAGGTGTATCTCTCTTAATGTATTTCAGTTGTATCTCTGAATGTACTGCAACAGTATCTCTGAATGTACTGCAACAGTATCTCTGAATGTACTGCAACAGTATCTCTGAATGTACTGCAACAGTATCTCTGAATGTACTGCAACAGTATCTCTGAATGTACTGCAACAGTATCTCTGAATGTACTGCAACAGTATCTCTGAATGTACTGCAACAGTATCTCTGAATGTACTGCAACAGTATCTCTGAATGTACTGCAACAGTATCTCTGAATGTACTGCAACAGTATCTCTGAATGTACTGCAACAGTATCTCTGAATGTACTGCAACAGTATCTCTGAATGTACTGCAACAGTATCTCTGAATGTACTGCAACAGTATCTTTGAATGTACTGCAACAGTATCTTTGAATGTACTGCAACAGTATCTTTGAATGTACTGCAACAGTATCTTTGAATGTGCTGCAACAGTATCTCTGAATGTGCTGCAACAGTATCTCTGAATGTGCTGCAACAGTATCTCTGAATGTGCTGCAACAGTATCTCTGAATGTACTGCAACAGTATCTCTGAATGTACTGCAACAGTATCTCTGAATACTGCAACAGTATCTCTGAATGTACTGCAACAGTATCTCTGAATGTACTGCAACAGTATCTCTGAATGTACTGCAACAGTATCTCTGAATGTACTGCAACAGTATCTCTGAATGTACTGCAACAGTATCTCTGAATGTACTGCAACAGTATCTCTGAATGTACTGCAACAGTATCTCTGAATGTACTGCAACAGTATCTCTGAATGTGCTGCAACAGTATCTCTGAATGTACTGCAACAGTATCTCTGAATGTGCTGCAACAGTATCTCTGAATGTACTGCAACAGTATCTTTGAATGTACTGCAACAGTATCTTTGAATGTACTGCAACAGTATCTTTGAATGTACTGCAACAGTATCTTTGAATGTGCTGCAACAGTATCTCTGAATGTGCTGCAACAGTATCTCTGAATGTGCTGCAACAGTATCTCTGAATGTGCTGCAACAGTATCTCTGAATGTGCTGCAAAAATATCTCTGAATGTACTGCAACAGTATCTCTGAATGTACTGCAACAGTATCTCTGAATGTACTGCAACAGTATCTCTGAATGTACTGCAACAGTATCTCTGAATGTACTGCAACAGTATCTCTGAATGTACTGCAACAGTATCTCTGAATGTACTGCAACAGTATCTCTGAATGTGCTGCAACAGTATCTCTGAAGAGCTTGCAAAAATAGCAACCTGGATGACTGTTAATAAGCTAACACTGAATATAGACAACACCTTTTACGTTATGTTGCTAAACATATTATTGTTGCTAAACATAAAGAGGAAAAATTTCTGGGTCTACACCTTGACAGCAACTTGAAATTCAATGCCCATATCTAACACACAACAAAAAAAGTAACTAAAACAGTTGGCATCCTCTCAAAGATACATTACTATGTACCACAAACAACACTACAGTACTTACAATATACAATTCACTGATCTACCCCCTACCACACTTATGCTATTTGTGCCTGGGAATCTACAACAACAAATTACCTGATAAATTAGACACATGTGCAACTCTTGGGTATCTTTATTGAGGAAACGTTTCGCCACACAGTGGCTTCATCAGTCCATACGTAGGAGAAACTTGAAGAACAGGAGGAGAATGAGGTAATCAGTCCCTCAACCTTGAGTCGATGTGTTCAGTCCGGTATTCTATTCAAGATTGATGGACTGAACACATCGACTCAAGGTTGAGGGACTGATTACCTCATTCTCCTCCTGTTCTTCAAGTTTCTCCTACGTATGGACTGATGAAGCCACTGTGTGGCGAAACGTTTCCTCAATAAAGATACCCAAGAGTTGCACATGTGTCTAATTTATCAACATGTCGGTTCTCTGAACCATTCATCAACAAAAAAACAAATTACCTAAAGCCAATAATAACCCAACAAAAAGCGGAAGTGAGAATGACCACACAATTCACTAGACAACACCCACCCCCACCCCACTTCTTAAAGACGTAAACCTACTCACTATACAAAACATTCACTCGTACTACTGTGCCACCTACATTTACAAAACAATCAAGTCTAATATAATCTCAACCTGAAGTGCTTTCTTGAGGGTTGCAATAGGACCCATGGACACAATACTAGGCATAAAAATCTCAATGACATTCCCCATGTCAGGCTAAATCTTTTCAAAAACTCAGTGTACATAAAAGGAACCAAAATCTGGAACTCTCTCCAAGAAATCTCCAGAACCACTGGCAGAGCTAGCATCTTTAAAACTGCAGTTAGAAAACACCTTATCTCCTTAACCTATCCTAGCCCACCATAAATAAATATGTAAAAACTATATGTGCATTTGCTTAACCCTTAAACGGTCCAAACGTATATATACATTTTTGCAACATCTGAAAGTATGTAAAAAACTGTAGATCTTTTTTGTTTTACATTTGAAAACGCGTAAACAAAACTTTTATCTACATTTTTTTTTTTGTTATATTTGAAAATATGTAAAAAAAAGTAGATCTACTTTTGTAGCACTACGAATTTGAACGTCGATTTGTTTGGACCGTTTAAGGGTTAATATCAAGAACTTAGTTAAAACATTATAATCAATATATACTTACTCTCAATATCTGTACTCCTTTCATATGTTAATCACTCCACTGTGTCCACCTTAGGTTAATAATCAAAACTATAATTCTTCTCTACCAAACTTATTAAAGCCATATAGCATGAACTAATAGAATATTCAATTTTCTTGTATTCAGTGTAATTCACCTAATGACCATATGTACAATTACTGCACTGTTATTGTCTTATTAATCCTAAATTTATTATTATTACCATAAGCTAATCTTAAGTTTGCCCAAAATGCTCTGCATATAAAGGGGCTT